ATATCATCTTATGTTATGTTATAATTTTATTAGAGCTCTCGATTTTGTCCGCACATTTTCAAACAGCCCGGGTATATGAGCAGCTAGTACTCGCACACTTGTTCAATGTTCATTACTCGAAAATTTTCGAGCATGAGCTCAAGCAATTCGAGTTTTTTCGAGTAATTTGAGCAATGTTTTTTTTATTATATTGACATTTTTGGTAGCAACTTTTTAAATTTTTCAAATTATTGATATATAATGCAAAGATTGTTACATTGGTATTTAATAATATAATTTATTTAACATGAATTAGAAAGCAGCTGCTGACAAATACAATTTACAAATTTTCTTTTGTTTATGAAATTATTCAAAAACTCGAAAATTTTGAACAAACATTTGAGCAGTTGAGAACGAGTTTCGAGCGAGTATCGAGCTACTCGCATTGCTCGATACCCGGGTATCTAGAGCTCTAAATTTTATAAAGCTCTTATTTATCAAAATTTTCAGGTAATACCAAAAAAGATTCAATTTAAATATTACTTGTTGTCATAGTCGTTTTTTTCAAATTTATGGCTTTATATTATAAAATCACATAACGCTGTTTGCAAGTGGACTACTCATATCTCTGGAAGTGTTCATGGTAGACTGTAAGCTTTTAAAATTCTTTAGTTTGACACCCACATGTCAACATTTCATTTACTTTATCAATTTAACTGAGTTACAATTTCCAAATAGTTGGCAGCCACCCTCAAAAATATTTCCAACAGTTATCTTTCTTAAACCTCTTTAATTTGATACCCATATTGTAATATTTTATTTATTTTATCAATGTAATTTAGTTAAATTATCAAACAGATGGCAAAACTCCTCAAACATATTTTTGGCAGTAGGCCTCTTTAAAACTCTTTAGTTTGACACCCACATGGCAATATTTAATTTATTTTATCAATTTGACTGAGTTAAAATTTTCAAATATTTGGCAACCCTCGTCAAAAATACTTCCAGCAGTTATCTTTCTTAAACCTCTAACTTGATACCCATATTGTAATAATTCATTAATTTTGTCAGTATAATTGGGTTTAAACATTTTAAAATAGGTGGCAACCCTCCAAATTTTTGCGATGTCATTGGTTCTGGTATTATACCGAATAATAAAAAAAAAAAATATTCATATATATATATACGAACACAACATTTATATATATATATATAGATATACATAGAAGATGTCCAATGTGTGCTTTCGATTTTAATCTTTGACCACAACAAAAATTCCACATTGTACATTCGTGAATGAACTTCCAGTTTCTCGATTACTTTTACAATTCCTTTGAGTAATTGAAAAAACTAAAGTACTCTTGTAATTCCAGATAATGGAATTGAAAAAAAAATCAATTACATTTTCAATTCCTTTCAAAGGAATTGGAAAAAAAATTACATTACTAGCACGTAATTTATTCCAATTACAATATGAAATTCCTTGTAATGGAATTAAAAAAAAAACAATTACATTTGAAATTACTTCAAGGAATTGAGAAAGTAATCGATTCCTTTGCTGTGGTCTGAAGGAATTGATTCCTAATTACAATTCCTTGTAATCTATAATTGGGAGTAATTTAATTCCTAAAGGAATCATTACGGCCCAGCTCTGCGCATATATGATATAAGTGGCCAGTGCTAGCCCTATTTTCCTAAACAAAATTTGCATACCAATATTTTGCTACAGAGCGAGTGTATACATAAATTTCGAATAAATGTTGATGAATTCCTTAGCCACATTGCCCAAAAAATCTGAAAGTCCGGTACATACTAAACACCTGCACAAGCACTGCATAAATGGCTTGCAAGCCATCTTCTCTCATTTCAAACACTGTATCTTCCCTTCACACGCATAACAGATGAACTCCTACACTGGCGAAAGGTTTTTTCATACGAACGAATGCTGCACGACAGCCAAAAGAACAACAGAACAAAACTGAAGTAGAACCAAACTGAAGTAGAACAAAGATGCGCGCTTCGCTCAGTGTAGCGGTGACAGCTAATTGACGAAATTTATGCGAATTCTTACTTTGTAAGAGTACATACCCAAATCTAGATAAGTACATGTGTGACCGCGCACTTCCTATGCTGAAGTGTTTTACAAAAACAAAAGTTCAGAAGTGCTTATGGCCTGCTTACCTAAACGAAGTGTGATATGTTTCCTTTTTTTGGCTTAGCATCTGCGAGTTTGCCTGCTCTTACATATATATTAAGGTATTTATGTACATTAGAGTGGTCCAAAATAATAAAGTCGGAATTTTAATGCCGCCACCCCCTAGAATTGTTCTGAATAAATATACCCCTATTTTTTTTATTTTGAAATCAAAAAATATTTAGGGAGTGCTCACAGCGCGCAAAGTTTTCCATGTATTTTATATGGGGGAAAAACAAATTTTCGTAAAAATGGCATAAAACTCTTGAAAATCAATATTTTTCAATCGTAAAACTGTGGTTCTCTTCAGGAGACTTCAAATATTGATATCCAATTGTTTATTTAACCATTTTTTATGATTAAAGATTTTTTATTGGTCCCCCCATTGCATTTTCAAGGACCCATAAAATATAGTCACCATGAAAAAATTGTTAAAGGAACAATTGGGTATTATTACCGGGAATCTCCTGAAGATAATCAAAAAAAGATCGAAAAATATTGATTTTCAAGAATTCTACACTATTTCTACGAATTTTTTTTTTCCTCATATAAAATACATTAAAAACTTTGAGCGCTTTGAGCACACCCTAATTTTTTTTATTTCAAAATAAAAAAATAGGGGTATAATTTTTTTTGGTATAGAACAATCCTAAGGGCATTAAAAATGCGACCTTATTTTTTTACATACATTTTTGGACCACTTTAATGTACATAAAAAACTACATAGATTCAAAATATGCGTTTTTATTAATTACGTGTATATAATTATGATAAAAAACAAACCACTTTTCATTTCTTAAAAAAACACAAGGCGCATATTCGTTTACATATCGAGCCCTAACCGCCAAAAGGGCGTAAGCGACAAAAAGTAAATTTTACAGTAGGCGTTTTTTTTTTATTAACACGGCAATTACTGTAGATACTAACGTGAAGGTCAATGAATAAATTACGTTTGATGTTAGGTATGTATATAATACTGGTGGTATTATTTGTCCATCTTTAATGAAACAGGTGATTTCGTCACTTACGCCCTTTTTGCCGTCACAAAAAAAGGCTGCAGCACGCAAATGCGGCGGTTAATCCAAAAGATATATTTAAAAAAAAAAACATGTTTTTGCATTAACAAAAACTATTTTGATGCCTTATTAAGCAAACAACTCTACATACATACATTATTGGATAAAATAATATTTCTCTCTAACATACGTTCTTAAACTTTTAAGATGATGGAACCCTTACTAAACACCATTAATTTTATGGAAAAATCAAAGGCATTGCAATTAATATATGAATAAAAACTTTTACTAGAAATAGTATACATACTTTAAATTTTAATATAATGAATGAAATTGTTTCACTGTTATTAATTATTGTATAAACAAGAAATTTTTAAGCAAAAAACAAAATCGACTTCAATTCTCATATAAAAATTTAAGATTATCGTTAATTTCTTCATGATCCCATGATCAGATTTAGACCAAAGTAATATGGGACCACCTGTGAGGTAACACCTTTCCTTTAAAAAATTGTAGAAATCGGCTAACGTGGTCCAAAGTTATGCTGTAACATACATAAAAAAAAATATTCCGACGAATTGATAACCTTTCTCTTTTTTGTGAAGTCGGTTAAATAGGGTAATAAGATCAACGGAAATAAGGTCACGCTACGCCGCGGCCCCCCTATTTTACTTCAAATGGCACTTAATTTTTCAATTTGGCACAAAGTGCCAAAATGGCACTTTTGTAAAAAAAATTACATTTCAATACATTTTTGTGAAATCCTTTGCGTGCACTTCTTTTTCTCAACTAAAATTTTCTAATTTATAAAGGTTGTTCACCTGGTTTATCTTATTTTATCATTGAACTTTTCTTTGGAAAATGTAGCTTTATTTTATTGCTAAATGTGAATGATTAAAAGGAATGACACCTTTTTTGGCACCTCATAACTAAGGATAGTTGGCAGCCCTGATTGGAAGATTTCTGCTGTGTTTTGGGGCAACAACTTGTCTGCAGTAAAAAAGCATATAATTTGTGTTTCAAAAGTGTGTGAAAACCAATCAATTATCTTATATGATCTCGGTTAAATAATCAATAATTGTTTATACCCGCATTTTGGCACATTGGCTCGTTGAATGTGCCATCTAATAAATAGTGTCGTCATTCTCCTTAGCTGCTTTTAAATGATGTCGTCACAAATTGCTGGCGGAGACATGAATACAGTGTAAGAAAATTCTTTTTCTATAATTGTTTCCTTATAGAAAGGTTCGTTTCTTTTCCTCCTTAGACATTCCGAATTCGTTCAAAATATGCTAATTTAAATTACAGAATTCTTTCAGTGTTCCTCCGGGGTTTTTGGACATGGACTGTTTCATCAATTTAATAGTGTTCGCTTTATTTTTGTGTAAACGAAACATGTTTTGCAAGTTATGGATCATTTCTACACTCTTTCTTCAAATATTTCTCGTATTCCAGTTGTGCGCAGGTGTTTAGTTTTTCGCATCGTGTTTTTACATATTCGTAATTAAAATTTTTTTTATAAAATCAATTGGTGGTAGTTCATGATTGTGTGTGGATTAATATCACAACACTGAGGATTTGGCAATAACCTTTTTCATCTATTAAAAAACAACACTTACGGGGCAATGTTTATTGTAAGAACAACATTTTTTTCTATGAATCGACATACTTTAAGCATTGTTGACGCTATTTCCATTTGAATGAGGAAATAGCGTCAATGACTTTATTTCCAAATTTTTGTTGACTTCATTTCGCTTTTGAATATGTAATAATGTCAATTCACTTTATTTCGCACCAGGGTGGGAAATAAAGTCAATTACCTATCACCGTTAAATAGTAGTTCGATATAATGTCTGAAAATTGTATGCGCTTTTCTAGGGTAGCATCTAATTTCGACCTGGATTTGTTTTTTGTATAAGTGTAAGCAGTTGACATAGTACGTTAAGATGGCCTTTTTAGCGACTTCATGATATTTACTCTTAATACTAACCCAAAACTCTTTCAGAGACACAGAGTCAAATGTGTGCTTCAATATCGATGTACTCTGAAGATCTATGAATGCTTCGCAAATGGATTTTGTACCAAACCATTATTACTACTACCATCCGGAAAATAATCTGACGAAGATTTCAGGTGATTTACCATGTGCCCAGTTATGACATTTCACATTTCAGTTGGCAATTCATCGCGTTCCTTGTAGAAAGTTGTATACATATAACCCTTTGGCTACAGCGGCCAACAACACATACCAGTTAGAAAAAATAGCAAGCTGTTATGTAGGTATGACACTCAGTACGGCAATCACACTAACTACGAGTACATATGTATACTTGAAAGTAGATAATTGCGTGTCGGTCAAGCTGTTTATGGAACTTTTCTTTCAGTGTGCAACTCAAAACGACCGCCGTGCCGTATTCATACCAAAATTAATTTCGCGGAACCCCATTGACTTTTACGGAACCCTTGGGTTCCGCGGAACCCACTTTAAGAAGCTCTGCTCTATAAAAACTAATGCCGATTTCGTTTGTCCCAAAAAATGTTGTTCTTTTATGGTGCAAAATGTGTTTGACGTTACACTCAACCCTGTAAAAGTTCAGGCTTTGCCTACTTATCCTTATCGAGCTCACACAGGGCAACCAGCTCCCCTGACAAAGCATCAAAGGGCAGAGGATGAGCCTGTTTTGCCTTATTGGAGTGCATTATTTTAAGAAACGAACACAGAATTTTCCTCTTCTACTAACTCTTCAGAAGAATCGGTGTCGCTGTATGGGACGAGTGCCCCTTTAGTTAAGCGCTGCAACAACCAAGCATTTTAGCACCATATACATGTATTATATTTTTATACTTTTGATTAAAAATCTTAATCTTCCAGAAATATATGCATTTACTTTTGTTTGTAAATGGTCCATATTTGGAAGAAATAAGTTAATTGTAAAATCAATAATTTTTAAAGAAATCTTGTTAAATATGAACGAAATCGGACAATCACTACTGGTTTACCAGACTCGTGCGCCACCTATCGGCAAAACTTTTAGTGCAGTTAGTTAATATGCGTTCTAAATATGAACGAAATCGGACTATAAATAAGGGATTTTCAAATATCTCGATTCCTGCGCCACCTATCGGATTAACTCATCTTTCGTATTGCATTGTCATCGGGTTCTGACCTTACTGTGAAGTTTCAAGTCTATAGGTCATTGAGAAGTTGATCAAAAATTGATTGCAATATTTGCCCCTAAGAAACATACATACATACATACATACATACGTACAGAGCAAGACAAGGAGTTTTAGTTCGGATTGAAGTTCCACTCTACGGAGGTTAGGCTTTCGATGCGTTCTCCTTGTATACATAAAAAAATTTTTAGCTAAAAAAAACGACTTAAAAAAAAATATATATATATATATATATTGTAACGGACTTTCCTGAGTGCTGGGCGTAGCTCTCTGTTGTCCAGGGTCCTGTAAGGAGTAAACACCCTATCTCCTCAAGAAATTAGAACACACTCGCTTCTCGTTTGTAGCCTCTTTATTTGCTATACTCTCGCTATATCTACTCTCTAAAGCATAGAACTAGAGTAGGTTAACACCCTACAGCTAGCACCAGTCTCAGTGGTTTGAGCCCACTTCGAATATAGAATAATAGTCTCGGAGGTTTGATCCCTCTTCCACTACCCGTGTGACCCACGTTGCGACGCGTGCCACGTATGCCTAGCTAATGACCAATGCTTGTTAGATTTGCTTCTTTTATACCATTTTTGTCCATCCGCAGACAGTTATCCTCATTATAATTGTTTGTGCTTTATACATTTTATGTAGGTGTTGTATGTTGTAGGTATTTCTTATACTGTGCATACAAAGTAATAATTCAAAATATATTAGTGGATACATACATACATACGTACTAGTATAATCCAAATAGATGCAATTCAATAAGCTTATGTACATACATACGCATAAATATAATAACTCAAAACATAAGTGTACATATATATATTTGTACATGTGTATATACAATTTCAAATAAACAATTCAGGGTATATAATACAAAGGATATATATGTATGTGTATATAAAAAGTTGTTGTGGGGCCCAGGGCCACAGGATCCGGGGTCCTCACACTCCATCCTTACTACCGGCACTTTTCCAGCAAAATTTCGGTAATTTTGCTGCCGTTTCACTTTCACATTGCATATTTTGTTTTTATTTGTTTATTTGTCATCCTCGCACAGCTGTAGTTTGGTGTCGGGGTTGCTGACTATCCAAAAGAGAGTTTTGTAGCGTTGATATGAACTGGAGTAGATTTCGGGTTGCCATTGCGGTGTTACTCCTCTTTTTACGATTATTATTATTAGTAGAATTAGTAGTATTTTGTTATTATAAATGTTTATAATTATAATTATTTATATATATATATATTCCTCCTTTTTTGGAAGTCGGTTAAAAAGACTATTTGCTTTTGAAAATGTTGTAGAAGTGAAAAAAATCATAGCTTGGCGTGCAATACCGCGTGTACCCAAAATGCAATCCCGCTTATGATGAGGTGGCTGAGAAGAATTATTTTCGGTACCCTGTCGCAGTGCTGGCCTACTTAACAAATTTAATGGTCAATAATTTTAGTAGAAGCTCATATTTAATAAATTCAGCTAGAAAACCATTCAAAAGTTTAAAAGAAAATAAGTTTATTTGCGCTTTTGTGAAACTTTCGGACTATCATATACGCGGTATTGCATTTTGCGTGTACGCGGTATTGCACGCCAAGCGACGAAATAATAAAAATTGTTGTAAAGTTCAGATTTATTCCAAAAATTTTCCACATATTTACAAAGTGTTTTTGAAACTTATTATTTCTATCTAAGCCATTTGAATAGTCCACTTGCAAAGTGCTCTATGTAAAATTTTTTCGATTATTAGTTTTTGGTGGTTAACGTATCAGTGATTAAAGTAGTTTCATGTCCACTAACAATACAGTGCAAAATCCTTATATATTCTGAAAAAAATAAATAAAAAATCAGGGACCGCAAATAACGATTACTTTTGAAATTTTCTACCCAAAAAATCACACTGAAAGAGAAATGCTGCGTGCATAAGGAGTACACCTATATATTTCTTACTACTCGGAATACCTTCAGCGGCACTGATTTTTATTTTTTAATTTTTACGTATAAAAATCAAGTTTAATCATTATTTTTCGAGTTTTATTTTTTACTCAGAAAATAATCGTTATGTTTTGTGTTTTATTTTTTGCTCGGGAAGCAATAGTTACGTTTTAAGTTTTATTTTTTGCTCGGAAAATAATGGTTACGTTTTAAGTTTTATTTTTTGATTGGAAAATAATCGTTACGTTTTGAGTTTTATTTTTTGCTCGGAAAATAATCGTTTCATTTGAAGTTTTATTTTTTGCTCGGAAAATAATCATTACGTTTTAAGTTTTATTTTTTTTATTATTTATTTATTTATTTATTTATTTATTCATCATTTTCTTATAGCGTATTAACAATCAATTCATGTTTGTATTCAATACATATAACTACTATGCTGCATAAGAAAAGTAAAAGGCATTGTTTATATTAACAAGTAATTTTTAGCAAAAAACAAACCGATTTAAAAAAAATATATATATATCTATATATTTCATGATTCAATGATCGGATCTAAACCAAATTAGTATGTGACCACCTCTGAGACACTACCTTTCCGTTGCAAAAAGAATTATCGAAATCGGTTGACGTGGTGCAAAGTTATGCGGTAACATACATAAAAAAAAAAATATATATATTCCGACGAACTGATAACCTCCTCCTTTTTTGGAAGTCGGTTAAAAAATTAAAATAGTACTAAATGCCATTACAAAGAACATTAGTTAATAGACTTGATGAAAATATTATTTTAGAGCTAAGAAGAGTACCATAATTACAATATTTCGTTATACTTTAGGGCTACGATACTTTTACTCGGAAAATAATCGTTACGTTTTAAGTTTAATTTTTTGCTCGGAAAATAATAGTTATTTCCTGAGATTTATTTTTTCCTCAGAAAATAAAACTTAATTTTTGCGTATGCGTATGCACATGAATACGGAGCAGCTACATTGAACTTTTTAGCGCCACTGCGGAGTGGGTAATGAAAATACAAAAGCAAGATACAAAGGCAGAAACAAAGACAAGGGCAATGACAAAACCACAGACACTCACAACCTATATTGCGGGATCACGCCAATGATAAAGATGAAGAACAGGACAAGGGTAAAACTAAATAAAAAGACAAGGGTAAAACTAAATAAAA